GTGGCGCGCAGCCGCGCCTGACAAAGTGCTGCATAATGTCATTCATCATAGTTTTAGTGGGGGGCATTCATCACATACGTGTGCTTTTCATTGCAACAAACACACAAGACGGGGCTCAATGCCATAGTTTTTAATTTGGCACTGAGTGCTACCATTTGCTTGAAACCTGAAATGTAATTTGAAACCCTAACCCGTGTTTGAAACCTTGACCCTGGCGTTAAATCAAATTTGAAACCCGAAACCTCACTTGAAGCCCGATTTTGTAACCGCAGTCCTTGTTCGAAACCGTGACCCTGTCCTGAAACCCTGATTTGAGATTCTAACTTGAAACCCTAACCGTGGCCTGAAATCCTTGTTTTGGAAGCACAGCCTAGGCTTGAAACCCAAACTCCTTTTTTAGTACTTGAATTTAGGCTCGAAACCCTCATTTGAACTCTTCAACTTGGCTTGAAAAACCATATTTGATATCCCAAGCTTGGCTGGAAACGTAGCAAACATAAATGGAGAGCCTAACCAGACACCGTAACCCTGGGCTGAAACCTTAACTGTAAACCCTAATTTGAGATCCAACCATGATGCAAAACCCTACGTTCAAGTTTTAAAACTGGCTCGGAATATGAATTAGAGACCCAACATTGTCTTGAAAGCTTAATTTGAACCCCCAGCGCACCACATTCGCAAGTATCGATTAGTAATGCTGCTGAAATGCGTCCGATTAAGACGAGCAAATGGAGAGATTGCAAATATAGCCTCCGTTGGTTGACGAGATTTACGCTGGCTTAAAGGGGTTTATCTTAAACATCTGGTTGTGTGATGACATCATCGTGTATGAATGAACTTTTTTTGAAAGTGGCACGGGTGGGCATCGGCGGCAGCGACAGGATTAATGTTACAGCAAAAGAGGATCAATCGCAATCAGGCGCGTGTAGCACAGCGCGGCCGATTCGCATCGACGCCATCCATCAACACGCTGAAGGCCGCCGCGAGCTCGTTCACCTGAGGCGCTACTCACGTGTCTCCGCCTCCGACATGCGGGGGACGTACGTAAAAGATTTGGAGGGGGAAAGGACGGGTGGTCAAACGTGTGACGAGCAATTGAAGGCTCCCATTGTGGAAATTCACCGAGTGTCCCCTAACCGATACACAACGACAAGCACGCGCGCACACTTTTTGTGTTGCCTTCTAATTGGCGGGCTAATGTCAAGGTGTCCCCACGAGCCTCCGGCTGCGTCCGCATAGAGCCTGCGGAGGTTGTAATCGCTTTTGTGAGCTTCCCGTTTCACGTCGCCTTGTCGATGTTAAAAAGAAACACGAAAGGTCGGTGTGCTCTTAATAGGAAAGTTGGAAGCTGTACTTCTGGCAAATTATTGCCAGGCTGCGTGTTTGACCTCCCCCCCAAAAAAATACACACAACTTCGAAAAATAATATTGCCATTCAAATTGTGTCCGGCCTCCGTGTGGAGTTATCGCTTGGACTCGTTCTGTCCAAAACAAAGCAACTGTGGGGATTTTTCAGTTTCCCGAAACATTTCACAGAAACGCGGTGTAATTGCCACCTAAAGGAATAAGATGTCGACTTAATAGTGACGACTGAAAAACATTTTCACCTTCACAATGTTCAAGGAAAGCAAGCTTTTAATAAAAACTGGTGGAGCAACTTAAAAAAAACAAAAAAAAACAACGCTCAAGTTGTCAGGGAAGAAAAAGCAACAAATGAGCCACAGGAGACAGACTACAATCCAGATGGAATAAATACAGCAAATCACCCAACAGGGGGGCACGAGGGCAGACGAGGAACTGATTGGCCTGACGCATGCGAAAGCAACACAAAGGCCGCGATGCCTCCAAATAAACGAGCGACGGTGCTCCAATAAGCTGCTCTTTGAAATGTTTTGTTTTTTTGGGGGGTTTTGTTTTAAAGCGTCAAATCTCCTAAAGGCTTCCCATCGATTCCCATTCCTCAAATCCTCGCCACCTCAAAACTTAAATGCCAGCAGGACCTCCGATGATGGGAATTGATTACTTCTGCCTGATAATTGCTAAAAAAAAAATTGCTGTTAACGTTCAGCCCGCCTCGCCGCCTTAGTGGATTGAAAACCCAAAAGGTTGGGATTATTATTATTTGTGCTTTCTGCTTTTAAATCTCAACAACGCATTACAGCTATTACGCAGAGGTCAAAATCGTGAAACGTGCCTTGTGTGTGACCGCGCCATTAAGAGTCCCACAAGAAACAAAAGCACAAACATGTACATTTCCCTTATAGAAAAAAAATACTGCATTTGTAAATGTGGGAAACAGGCAGCAAGAATAGTCAGCAATATTTGCCATCTGTACGTGAGTCAAAAATGCTGTCGCGCGGCTGGAAAAAAAAACGATTTGAATTGGAAAATCGGTTTTGATTTCGAAGATGGAACCAAGTTGACTCGTTCATATCGAATCGTCTCCTATGTAGATACAACAATACGCACTATAAAAAGATTTATAACCCAGATTGGGTCAAAAATGGGTCCCACCCAAATTAGCTGTTTTGAATCATGAGGAAAAGTTTGGACAGTGAAGCCTTATGTCGCCCAAATCAAAGATTGGACCAATGCTTTTACAATTTCACCCTGGTAAGATGGGGGTTGTTATTTTTCTATTCTTTTGCAGGTGCGCGGCAGCTGATGTTTCCCCCCAGGAGGAAAGATTAGGCACCGCCGCTTCTTACCCCGCTGTTAATATTCAATCCTTAAACTGACATTTCACTCAGCTGGAGGCTAGGTCGCACCTTACAAATAAGCTCAGAGGATGAACTCGTTTGTAAACGGCTGCATTATTTAGCGGCCCGTGTTGGCTTTTATTTTTTTTCGGACGTTTGGCTGAGCGGTGATACGAGCGGGGCGGCCTGGGTGTTCCCGTCTTGCCAGAATTGCAAAGGTGGCAAAACTTGGACGAGATGTGATCCTCCCACCATGAGTGTGACGATCAAGTGCTTCTTTTGATGTTTACTTTGAAGATACGCCACCTTTTCTCTGATAATCTTCGTCATACTCCCTAAATTGTCAAACGCATGAAAAGCACAGCACACCACGGAAACTTGTTTGCATCAAGTCAGACATTTTTAAATGCCCCAGGAATCCAAAACCCCCGTGTTTCTCTGAAAAGGCTGATTGGCGGGAATGCCTTCTTATTCACGATTCAATTATTTGCATATTTTCGCTACTTGTAGGCCTGCCAGTTCCCTCTCCCCCGCAAATAGCATGTCCACCGTATTAGAGTAAAGCACAGATACCCGAAAAATCGACAGTTCTTACTAAGTTTGCCCAGATTTTCTGGCTAAATGAAAAGAACAAACCCATTTAGCAAGAAACATGAAGCGGTCCCCCTTGATTTGCTTTAGTGGGCCACATAAAGTCATCGAGCGGGCGGGATCCAGCCCCCAGGCCTCAGAATGCGTTCCTCCTGTCTTCCGATGTAAATCCTGCACGACGCGCACAGGGCGTTGAGAGGTGACATTCGCCTTTCATTAACTCTCCGTAACGTGCGTAGGAGTATTTTTTTTTTCTCCCAAAGAGCCTTTATGCGGTGACAGTGACGTGATCACAGTTAAGTCTCTTCTGTCTTTAAACAGCGCCACTCATCCTTGGTTGCGCAGGTGCGCGTGTCGGTTTCCCATGGGCGGCTCGCTTCCCGCCAACTTAGAGGACGTTGTCGGGACACGGCGGCTAATACATGCTAATGCCGCCTTCTTCCTATTTGGCGAGATTGATGGCTCGGCGGCACTTCTCATTGATCAGTCCGACACAATCTGCGTCTCCAATGAGGGTGGGCCGGCGGGTTTGTGCATTCTTCCGGGGAGGCCTCATCCTGGAGGCTACGACGCTGTGGCACGTCTCATCGATCGCACTCAACTTATTTGTGTAAATACTTTGTAACCTTGCCCGTTTTGCAAAGTGCGGCAGATGGGGGGATGGAGGGATAACTGGGAGGTGGGGCAGGTAGATGGATGGATGGATGGAAAAGGGCATGGCTGTATTTAGGATTTGGGTGATGGCGGGATGGGGGGAATGGCAAGCTTCCTCTTGCTCGCTTTTTGTTTCCATATCCCCGTGGCTCTTTAGTGTTGTGCTGCAATGGCATTGCAGTACATGTTTCTTAATTGTGCAGACATTAAACCACCAAGTATTGCTGTGGTCTCGTGTGCTGCATTTGCGTTCTACTCTTATCTCTGACAGGTGAGACAGGGAGATGGATGCCGGGGATGGATGGGTGATAATTGGATTTTGGGATTGGGTGACGTATGGTGGGATGGTGACCTGCTGCTGCAGTGGGCAAAGCATGTCATTTTCTTAGGCTCTGATCTCGAGGGGGGATTACAGGAATGATGGGAATTAATTATGCATTCATCATCAACATGATGGATTCCGCGTGATCAAACTCCAAACTATATTTCCCCCGAGAAGCGAGATGCGGCTGTGGGGTCCGCTGCTTCCTTTGGAAACACCCTTTCACTTCCCACTCGCTGAACATGAAACTTGACTTTCGTTCATAAGGTCGATTGGCACTCGGACATTTGAACTGTCCTTGAAGCCGCTTGACGCGGGCTCTATTTTCAAATCCGGCATGTGAAAACTGTGCATTGATCATTTTACAGATGCACGCCAGCTGGCATATTTTAGAAAATCTGTATGCGCCGTTGTGGGCGTGGACAAAGCAGCTCCCTTTCAATATGGCACACTCACATCTCGCATGCAGACATCTCTGTGTGAAAAAGAATGCAGTAATCCGTGCGTGACTGCAGCATTGTCACTGATGTTGGCCGATGGGGAGACAGACAACGTAAGTGAACACTCATTAAATAAATACCGAATGTGCTCTGGTGATAACCGCTGATGACTTGAATGTGTCCGCACACCTCATGTATCTCTTGCACCTCTCACCATTTCTCCATGATAACCTCCACCATGCACAATAGAAATAATAATAACTGTGGAAATAATGTCTCAATTGTCCTGGTTTGTTCGGCAGCATCTTCCCCACTCCATCAGCGGTATGCGGGGGTGCAGTTGACAAACGAGGGCGGCGTCAGCGTCGTCCTTATTTGTCACTATTGTCCGCCCGTTTCCCACAGCTGGAGAGACAAAGGCCAAAGAACATATGAGGTACATGCATTTTTAATGTGACATCCTCATCAAATCCGCCGCGGCCGGCTGAGCGGAATGCCAACGACGTTTCAACCCGCCTAGTACGCACAAGCCGATGTGAGCTTTGAAGGGCACATCCGACTGCCGCAATGACTGCGACACATCCGCCGGTGATTTTTGTCTCCGCGCGGGAAGATTCGGGGCGGTAAAAGCTAGACAATAATCACCTCAATAAAACATGTTGGGGACGCAATGCGGAGGCCATTTGTCAGACCTCCTGTTTCGGCCTCTGTCTCAAAATAAATAAATGAATAAACATTTAGATGACAAACAACAAAAATGACTTTCATGTTTCGGTTAAATATAACAAAATGATCTTTAGTCTGCCATTGCTAATGATAACGTTCAGATTCGTACTTGCTTGTAGTACTTGTGATTCACTTATGACTTTGGTGCTAACATCCCATCTTATGCTGCGGAACACATTGTATAGGACGCTTATATCACAGTTTCGGTCCCCATTATACGTTCCGCAACACAATCATGGCAATTTGACCGCCTCACCTTTTGTCCGGCGGCGAATATGCTGAGCGTTCCCGCGCGCTCATTATGTGTCCAGCCCTCAAATGTCACCCTGCCCTGCAGTCACCACGCTCACGGAATGTAAATAAATTCCAAACTGAATCTTTCATCTGGCGTCATTCTAATGAGGTGTGAGCCTCAATTAGACAAGGCTTACGCTCAGGCCGGGTTTGAATGTCACCGAGCGGTTTCTGACATTTCTCCCTTTGATTCGCCGTCGGAATCGAAGGCGAAGCCGGCCGACAAACTCCGGGTGCTCGCTCCCACCAGGGCTTCATCTATACCGCCCTGTTTTTTTTAAAAGGTATAATGATGGACTCAATTACATGTCGGCATGTAATTAGCCTTGTTGAAATAAATGCACTCGACTTTTAGCTCCACCGCAATGACAATAAACAGCAGGGCCAAGAGGTAGTGTTTTCTTGAGTGTGGTGGGCGTGGGGTGTGCGGGGGGGGGGGTGATTGTGAAAATGAGTCATCAATTGTCCAGTCAGGAATTTAATGAGTTTTCACCGTTAGGCAAAATTGCATTGCTTGATGCTCACCTTAGTAGCTCTTGCTCTCTGTGACTTTTTTTTTTTTTTGCATCCACCAATCTCCCATTGGGCCCCTTTTATAAGAATAAACTTTACATCACTGAAAGAGGTGAAGGGGAATAAAAAAAAAAAAAATCCCCAAACACTTTTTTTTTTCATATTTGTTAAAACTGTCATTGGGAACTGACTCTAGCGCGCAGCAGCTAAATAAGACGGATTTTAAATATCGGATTTTGAAAGTAACAAAGCCACTGTCTTTTTCAAGTCCCATTTTTGTCATGTCTCTCGCTTCACTTGACTTTTTAGCACCACCTTGCACAATAGAAATGTATTGCAACCTGGAGGGAAATCCAGGTTCAAAATTCCAATTTTTTTTTTTCCTCTTTCCACTCCCAAGACATTTTTAAATCCCAAAATGCATTTCTTTGGTCAGTTTTATCAAGTGGAGGCGTGCATTACAAAGCGCAACCCCCTCGCCAGTTGCCCTCTTGTCTTATCACTTGCAGAAGCGTTTGCCTCACAGTGGAGGTATTAACATCCATCCCCATTCCAATAAAGCGCTCAATTGTTCCGCAAAATGACAGCGAGAGAAATAGAAATCCATTGGTACGTCCGGGTTGGAGGAGTGGGGGGGTGGGGTGTTCAAGGGCCAACTGTTTGCATGAAGGCCGCGAGTGTCCAGCACAATAGCGCCAGTGTTTGTTCTTTGACACAAAAGCAGGCCAAGAAGAAGACGCCTTGTGGGGGAAGAGGATGAGGAGGGGTTGCTCGTTTCTTTTCCATCTTGATGACCATTGCCATCGCGGCCATTGTGGGGATTCAATCACTCGAAGCAGATTGCGTGGCCCGGTGGTCTCCGGAGCGACACAAACAAACAAACAGGTGGGTGTGGCGTGCGGGTACTTTGCCGATCTTTTGTTGGCCGATAATTAGATACGATTTCCAAACGCGCAGGGAGAGGTAATGGCTTGCAGAGAAATGTGACTCGGGGTTGCAAGCGACACAAAGATGGAAAAGTCATAATAGCTGAGCACAATTTGAAAGCAGTCAGGCAGCTCTTTTGTTTGCAGCACAACCGTTTTTTTTTTAGCGTAAACAAGTTTTCTATAGGTTCCATCAGTGCTTGGTGTTGTTGCTTATGACAATAAGCTGTCATTTTACCTCACAATCGCTTGAACTCATTGACTTGCTGGCTTCCAGTAAGAAGAACGCATTTCTGCTTTGACTATCGCTACCGCTGCGTTAGCATTTCAAAGTTGTTGTTTGCTCGTGGAGCACTTCAACGATTCAGACAGTGTTGTGAGAACACACACACACGTCTTGTCCTTTGCACATGCTAAGCTACATTAGCAATGTCTTAAGTTGCTGCCCATGTGCCTTTAAGTAGGTGCAAATGAGCCACAATTAATTTCATGTTTCAGACAATAACACCAACAACAAAAATCATAAAAATGACTATGATGTTTAATATCATAAAACTAAAGAAGACACAATTTCAAGAGAATGTTTTTTTTCACGGAACAGAAAATGTGTTAGCATGCTAGTGCCAGTACTAGTTGTACTTAGTGCTTGAACAAAATGTCTATTTTTGTTGTCAACGCTGGCTGCTAAGTCATACAGACAAATTGTTTTAGAAATCTTTCATTACTACATGATCAGGTCTTTACCATGTACATTTCTGTAAAGTTAACTTTAGTGGCATCTGCGGGTTTATTTTCCCCCCCCTCAAAAGCATATAAACAACGGCAAAAAAAAACAAAAAAACAGTGTTGATGTGATTTCAGAGCGCCTGATTAACGTCAGTGGGAATTCTTGCCGCCAACTGTTTCCGCTCCGTGCGCGCGTAAATAAATAGCGGCAAATTGCTTACTAACAAGTACATGATGCTTTGACATTTCCCTGTTGTTTTTGCTCATTTGGGTCCCGCCTGTAAGACGACGAGCGGCGTGGCAGCACTGATTGTTTTTACAATGCGCAACTAAAAACAACGCGTCCCAAATGACCAATTAGGACATTTTGTCTTGGAAGGTTGATACAAAAGAAGTGAGGCTAAACAGATTTTTTTCTTCACCTTTTATTAGTTGACTTACTAAGTATCTCCAATTGTGTAAGAAGAAGCAAAAGTTTTACATGAAAATCAACACACGATGGTAATTAAGTAGGCTGACAAAGTTTTCCATACTTTCCGTGTTGTGTGTGTTTTTTTTTTAAACTGTTCCAGGTCCCTTTTTTTTCTTTGGTGTTTTTTCATTTTGACGTTATTTGCTGTTAAAAAGATTTTCCTGTTTCATGGGCTACTTTTTGACAACACTGTTTTGTTATAGCACAATAGAATTTAACACAGTTACTCAAAAGTTCATTTTCCAGAATGTGTCCCTGCTTTTCCCGCGTCCAGGGCTCGTTTTTGACTTAGGTGTTCCTCTTTCTTATCCTTAATGACAAGCTAACCATGCGCAGCAGAACTAAACAAAACCACCAGACTTAAAAAGTCCCTTTTGCATAATTTGTCTACTTTAACAAGGGCTCTTCCTGTTTCATGAGCAGGAAGTACAGGTTGCAACAAGGTTAATCTGATCATTTCCTTTATGAAATCTGTGCCACGAAGCAGAGCACATATCAGCTTTGACATTGTGCAATGCGGCGACACGTCCCTCAGGCCCCCCCACCCCTCCCCAATGTCAGGGCCGCTTCTACCCGAGCGTTGTAATGTCCCGACTCGGGTGGCGGAACGGCATTTCCCGAGGATACAGCAAGGCAGGCGTGAGCGTAGTGTGACGGTCTCGGTGCGTGCGGTGCTTAACATTGTGCGACCGCCGCACGTTGTCACGCTGTCTTGTGGGAGCCTGCCGTCGCTTGCATACGTACGCTTCCGCAAATAGCAGCCGGCGAGGACGGGTGCAGGGTTGGAGGGCCTATTAGCCGTAATGAATGGCTGCCAAGTACGGGGCGAGCTCCTCGCCCGGCGGATGCCATGTCGGCGTCTCGTCTGACAGGAGAAAATTGACCGTAGGGCACATAGGCGCTTCTTTATCCGCGTGCAATTGATGAATGTAAAAGTAAAGGTTCCCGTGGTAAATCAATCACAGCGTGTGCCACTGTTATTATCGTGACACCACATGTCACGAGTGGGTTCCGTTTCTGGAGGTTAAGTGGGAAAGTTTGTTTTTACGCTTGTCAAGGTGTTGACTTAAGTACCGCGACTCCCCAGAACATCTGCACATCTTTGAAAAAAATGTTGCCAATGTTGCCAGCTGTTTCAGAGCATTTTGACTGACCTAGAGAATATTGCGTTCCGTGACATTGTAAGTGCCATTGCCAGCAGTAAGTCGGATTCTTTTCCAGTGAGGGTTGGACTCTGCCAAAGCTGCCCTATTCACTGATTCTGTTCATGGACCAAATTTCCAGGCGCAGCCGTGGGCGTTGAGGGGGGTTCGGTTTGGTGTCTTTTACTGATCGATCTACGTTCCTACCCTCATCTATGGTCACGAGCTGTGGGTCATGACCTAAAGAACGAGATACAGGGTGTCCGGGCTCTATGGTCTCTCCCGACAACCACCTTGTGTATTCAAAATCAGCACAGTCGCAACTGCAACATTAGGGTGTCAATAAGTATCACAGTTGATCTGATCTCACAACGTGTCAAACCACAGTTTCGGGCCGTCTGAAACTCTTGTCAAGACGTTGCCCAATGGAAACTGTGACGTGTAAAAACAAAAGGCCGCCTTGTCTCGCTGCTGTTTTTCTCTTGCTGAAAGCAGGCCTTTTGTCCACTTTGAAGACCGGACAAGGTCTAGTATTGTCCGTGCTTTTCTTGGGTCTGGTGTGACACTGCGTGCGAGTCGGCAGCTGATTAATGAAGACTTGTAATGAGATCAATGCTTCCCCGGCCAGACGTGCGTCGATGCTGTGATTACAAGCGGGTCAAGAGTGCGAGGGGAGCCAAAGTCGCACCGTTTGGAGCCACCGGGCTCAAACTCAGGAGGACAGATGTCCTCTGTTGTTGTTGACTTGCTCTCTGTCAAATTCAGTGGCACATTACACTGCCACTCAGCAACGTTAGATTTGCTGAGCGCAATCTTACTCGCTTTTGCGCTTCGTGAAAGGGGCCATCTGTGGCATCTTTGACCATCCTCGCAATCATCTAACCGATGCCCTATTATACCTATTATAGGGAAACGGGGGACTGCCGCTTATCCAAAGTGCCGCTTGGTGGGTACAACCCCATCCTTTCGAATGAATTCTGATTCAACATACGCACAACAGTGAGAAAATTGGCCGTCCACTAAAAGGTACAGTATGGTAGCACGCCGAGACTTTATTTCAATAACATGAACTCTCTGACATCACAGCACAAGCACGGTATTTCTTTTTCACTTTTCAATCCTAGCTCATGTTATGCCGTCCCTCATCACCTTGGTCAGAATGTTAGCAAATCAAAAAAAAAAAAACAACCTGTGATATGATCCTGAAAGTATTCATTCTATTTAATTGTTACAAAGTGTGCATCTTGTTTTTGTTACACTACAGTCATCCATCACTGTTTAATCAACTCCATATACTCATATCTTTTTCCGCTATGCTTGTTTACGAAACATTTATCACGCGCTCTAATAGCCACACGGCGTTTAATGAAAGTGAGCCAATTTCTCCACAATCAACTTTCCCCACCCACCAACGTCTTTAACGTGCATTTGTACAACAACGTACAGAGAGCTTGCAAATGTAGTTGGCATAATTAATCTTTTGGCTTTAACACCGTTGCATCTTTAATATTCTCATTCTGCAATCTCTGTGAACTGAACAGAATATTCTGGTTCCCTCTCTCTGCCGCTGGTGCTTCTTTCAGTTTGCAGGGCCATGTATACGCACACACGATGGGAAAGGCCACTGGTGGGATGGAGACAGATTGGACCACTGGCGTGTGGGATTGGACGCTGACAACCTCCTGTTGTTTGTTTCTTTGGTAGGTGAATAAAATGCATGAAAACATGTCACAGTCACTAGTTTCTCTCACTTCATTTTAAACAGAGGGCAGTGGCAACTGCCCCCCCCCCCCAAAAAAAAACAACTAAAAACAAACACACTGTGGGTCACAGTGAAGGCTGCAAAAGGGATGGGTAGGAATGATAATAGTATGATGGTGGTGAGTGGTAGAAGTTAAATAAAGTTCCACATGTCCTGGTTTAAGCCAAATACTTCCACGACGGCTATCCAGTACAGTAAATCACTGGAAGGCACCGTATTGCCCTGTGCAGGTTGCCAGTCAGGGCGCGGTGGGAGGGATCGAGTGGAACAAATCATTATTGAACCAAGGGGGTGCTGTATTGCTGCTGTGGTTGTTAAAATAAAATAAAAAAAAGTTTCAACCAAGTACTGTATGGTTCAACACTTTTCTAGCTTGTTTGAAATGCACAGACAGAATGTAAAAATAACTTTTGACATTTGAGAGGAGGTGGGATTGAATTAGAGGGTTTAGGGCCTAAAAATGTGCTAGAAACAACAACGGTTTCATTGATTGTCCACAATTTGTGTTTATTTATTACCTCAATGAGCCTAGCCCATTTGTCCAAAAGGATATTTTTGTTAGCTACTTTAGAATGATGCACAGTTTGAACATTAATAACACTGCACTTAAAATGTAATCTGTTAATGATTCAACAAAATGTGTTGCTCATCAAAGCTAAAAGCAAATTGTACCTAAGTAAATGTTTGAAAAATGTTTTTTTCGAAATGATTCAATTCAAATGTATAATACAAAAAAAGTTGTCCTTGATTAAAGCAAGTAACATTTTGGATGATTTGATTTGACCTGCAACACGACAGGATGCTTTAAAGCAAGCATGGGAGCTGCAGAGGATACGAAAGTGAGGAGTGTCTTGGCAGCCCTGATGCTGCTGTTCCTGCTGAGCTACACCAACAGCATCGCCGTGGGCCCAGAAGCCCCCCGCTTGGCCCTGGCCTCGGGCCCAAAGTCCCCAGGGCAACACTATCGCCTAAAGAGAGGCTGGATCTGGAAGCAGCTGTTTGTCCCGGAGGAAGACCCCACGCCTCGCGTCATCGGCCAGGTACTGAACCCCCGCCATGTCCTTCATGCGCAAAACTCATTGAAGCTCTTGTCACGCAGCTGAAATCGGATTCTGACCGCGGGGAGTTTGGCATCCAATACATCCTCTCAGGGGAAGGCGCCGGCGACGCTTTTGAGATCGACGAGTACTCTGGCGAGATCCGTACGCTGAAGAAGCTGGATCGCGAGGAGAAGGCTTTCTACGTGCTCCAAGCGCAAGCCATCAACAGGCTCTCACAGGAGCCAGAGGAGCCCCAGTCTGAGTTTATCATCAAGGTGCAGGACATCAACGACAATGCGCCGAGATTCCACAACCAGCCATATGTGGCCAGCGTCCCTGAAATGTGCCCGACCGGTACGTTTGGCACACTGACTCAGTGTGATGTTGGCATAAGCAACATTGCATTTGCAATACTATCATTTTGTTTGTATCGCCGCATTAGCGTTGCACTACCCTAAGTATGTCAATATCATCTTATTAAATTAAAAAAAAAAAAAAAAGAATCATAACATCTACTTACCACTACAATATGTTTGTTAGCGTAGCGACGTTGGCTTTACACTAGGGCTGCAGCTACAATTCACTTTGATGTTAGCATAGCAACATCTACGTATCAAGGTGGGTCAAGTCAGCTTTATTGTCAAATATGCTCTATGTACAACATAGACCACAGATGAAATTTCTTTCCTCAAGAAGGCTATCTTATGTTAGCAAATCAACAGCGTTTAGCAACCCACCGGCGTCACAGCCCCACCTCAGTCATCCAAAATATTTTTTTCTTCATTATCATTTTCGCAGATGCACTTTTCAAGGCAAACTTATATCCTGCCTGAAGATTAAAAGCAGAAGGTTATATGAATGTCTGTCATCTGTCCACATGCAGGAAGTTAAATGTATTGCTTTCTGTATCGCGGCCCGGATGCCTTTTTCTTCTTAAGTAATGTTATTACAGCTGCTGCCCTTTCACAGCGCAAACATTAGCATTTCAATTTATGTGTAATCTGCCTTTTGCAGTATAATATCTGCCTTCTAATAAATCATAATGTATTTGTCTCGGCATGAGGGAGTGGGGTTTGGTGTTGAATGCGGACAACTTTCGAATACGAATAAGAGAACATTTTGAAAACACGAGGTTGGCTGCAGAGGCCAAGCCTAACAAGATAACCCCCTCTCGGAACCTTTGTCAGCGTGCCATTCCAGCCCGCCCTGGCTGTACTGGCCCATAAAGCCAGTTTTTCCTGGCTCAAATTCAGGCACGCTTTGTTTTTCTTGAAACAGTCATTGCCACCTCACCTTGAAAAAAAAACGTGCTTAGTTTGAGACATCCTGAGAAATCAAAAACATCACTTGGTTAATTTAATTTGTGTGCTTGGTTACAAAATACACTCTTAATACTTATTTGAACAGTCATAATTTGTCTCCCACACTTGCCGTAGTAAAGAAAATCTGTCACTGGTAGCTCTTGATAACACCCAACGAGTGTAAGACTGGTTATATAATTTTCATGAGCTTTTCAAGACGGCGGTGGCCCAAAATTAGCCGCTTTCAAGTTTGACATGCAGGAAAGAGTCTATCCTAATTCCTTTATTCCCTCGTCGAGTGGAACTGCCTGCCGCCCCCAGCCAGCTGACTGCGCCCTCACATGTCTCCTGGCAGGCACCACCGTGTTCCAGGTGACGGCCACAGATGCTGATGACCCCACGTTTGGCAACAACGCCAAGCTCATCTACTCCATTTTGCAGGGGGAGCCCTACTTCTCTGTGGAGCCAAAGACAGGTGCGACACTGAATGCCAGGTCAAGAGGTCACTGACAGCGTAGCACTACACGCAGATGACTTGATGATGTGAATTCCATTCCGAGGTGATTGATCAATCCTTGATTAAGCATTAAAAACTAAATCGATGACTAGGATAAGTGGTAAAAAAAACAAAAAAATCAAAGGTATGGATGATTCCAAAGAAGGGAGAGAAGTTGTTTTTCCATCTTCTTCCCTTTATCACTTTCTAAACTTAGCTCTCATTTATTGATGTTATCATGGTGCTTTTCCAAAACGGTTGTGCTCCCACCCTTGGCCAGATTATTGTTATGCCTCGCAGCACTTCCCACACACAGTGTTGACCTTTAATGAGCAGCCAAGTGTTTAAATGCAATCCGATGCGGAATGCGACTGAATGAAGACTCGGCGGTGCCTGAACCCAAAAGGCTTTCAGTGGCCATTTTTGCCCAAAGCATCATTTACCCTCCACAGTCAACTTGACAATTCATCGGATGCATTTTATAATACATAACGAATTAACCAAGAACTGTATCATTCATATTCGCTTCTCATTGTTGAGTTCAGGAGTGTCATTGTTGATCTGCTAACTTCCCTCTCTCGTAGGCATCATTGTGACCTCCTGGCCCGACATGGACCGCGAGGCAAAGGAGCAGTACCTGGTTGTGGTGCAGGTGAAGGACATGCTGGGCATGAGCGGCGGCTACTCGGCCTCCGCCACCGTCAGCGTCAGCCTGAGCGACATCAACGACAACGGGCCCATCTTCCAGCACCGTAAGTCCCACTCTGGTCGAGAATCGGGAAAAACAACACTCTCTCTCTCTCTCTCTCTCTCTCTCTCTCTCTCTCTCTCTCTCTCTCTCTCTCTCTCTCTCCATTTGGCTGTTGCCACATTAGTTTCAAAAATGGGAGCAATTTATCAATCCATAGACTTCTGAATTTGGAATGAAGAGCAGTAAGAACGGTGGGGATGAAGTGGGCGTCCTCGTCTGGCTCATCTGCATGTCGCCCCATAGACGGCTCCAATCCTTCACACGTCGTATCATGACCTTTGGAAACAAACGTTCCCGGTGATAAAGCTCGCCGAACGGATGCTCCGGGAAAGAAATCAATTCTGCAAGAGTGAGGCGAGGACGACTCGTCGTCACGTCCTCATTCGCCGCAGACGCCGCTGCTTATAAATGTTGTATTGCCACACTTCTGTCTGAACTGCGCCCTCTGTTTTGTCACATTGCAAATTAGAACCAGCAGTGATGACGCGGACGCAAAAAAATAATAAAATCCCTGAATGAAAATTGTAACTATTGCATATAGTGGCCCTTTCACGGATGGTACAGTGACACATTCATCATTTTCATTTCAGATTTATACACCTTCGCCATTCCCGAAGACGCTGTGGTGGGAACCACAGTGGGCAGGGTCAAGGCGGATGATGCCGACATCGGCGGCAATGCCAAGATGAACTACAGCCTGCAGGTGGACCTGGAGGAGAACGCCACCTTCACCGTCCACACCGATCCTCTGACACAAGAGGGAATCATCCTGCTGGCCAAGGTAATGTAGCCCCCCCAACCCCTCAGCCCCAAGCAAAAGTCTTTTCATTTTAGGGACAATAGCTTTCATATAATAATGTAAAACAAGCCTATGTTTCATTGCAGCCGCTGGACTACGAGACCAAGCGTCGCTACGTGATGGTGGCGGAGGCCATCAATGAGGAAGTGGACCCTCGCATCCTGTCCCCGGACGAGTTCTCGGACCGGACCACGCTGAAGATCATGGTGGATGACGTGGATGAGCCGCCTGTCTTCCTTTCGCCAGTCTACGAGTGGAAGGTGGCGGAGAACGCAGGGGTGGGGATCGCGGTCGGCGCGGTCAGCGCCCGGGACACCGACGCCGCCAACGATGCCGTCAGGTAACTTTTAACTAGCAATGCTCGGCATCCTGCTTGTCTTCCTCAATCTGCGTATCAATAAACAAAGAAAGTCAATGGATAGATATGAACTGACAGGGAAGAGATTCTCAAAGTATCATACATTGGCCTCCTCTAGTGGTGTGCAAAAGAATCACTGAATTAAAAGATGCAAATTGTGAATCATGTCACACTAGTTAAATTTGTTTTCTGACCTAGGGCAGTTCAGTTGTTTAATTCTTCATTTTGTCGTTTCAAAATGTTTTCAAGCCTTTATGTCGTAACAATTTTTAATTGTACTTTCATTTTGGTCATGATGTTACTTCAACGCCTCAGGAGACTGATTGCAGTAGCTTCCAACCTAACCCTGTCGTTGCTATCTTTTCTAACCAGACCTTCGGCCGTTTCAGATAAACACAACAAATCAAGCTTCTTAGTCCTGTGACCCGTTTTTCATATTTTTGATCCGCGCATAAAATGGAATGATGAAAAATCCGCCATTTGTTTGGCTTTTTTTAATTGTATTGTTGTTTGAAAATGGAAAGAACAAATGATACACTGATTATTTTCCTCCATGCAGTGAAAAATGATTCAATTTCAAATGGTGCTACTTCCTGGGTGCATCCGGTTTTACCCTTGATCTCTGTATCCGGTCATATTTATCACATATTAGTTTAGTTGGAAATGAGCCCCGCTGAATAAATCATCATGATTTTTTTTTTTTTTCCTTCATACCTCACAGGCTTTTCCTATCTATTGCGGTATTATCACAAAGCGACGTGAGCCAGGACGTGGGAATGTAATAAAGCGCCCTGCGAGGCGGCGTACGGAATTGAGATTTGATGTCATTTGCAAGTGAGGCACGTTTTCCTGCCTGGAGTCCGTCGGAGGCGAGCTTGCCAGTGGCAGGTGCCGCACATCATCCGTCGTCCATTAGTGTCCCTTTGGTGACGCTGTCGCCGTGACGAATACATCCTGGCTGACATTTTAGGGCTTTGCAAAGTTCCACTAAAAATGATGAAGTTTGCTCTTGTTTTCCGCGTTGTTAGTGGCAAAATTGGCCAGCCCGGTATGATTCAATGCGGGGCGTTCGGTTAATTTCATTCCATAACATATATTAGATGCTTGTACCCCTACTGCACTGTCATGTCAACAACGTGCTGCTTGTTTGGGCAGATACGGATACCTCCATTGTCTTGGACTGGGATGTTTATATCGCTCAATTTATGAGAGACACAAAGGCACCTTTCAATGTGGTGTCCTCTCCCATAGTGTATATGGTCAAAAATATTGGACCGCAGTACATATGTACTCTGTTTATGTGTGTGTACATAGGCAGTATCCTCAATACCAGTGGATGAATAAAGTATTCGGGTCGCAGGTGAGCTGGAGTCTTGAGAACTTAGTTTGGACTGAGCCATTGTTAAAAAAAAAAAAGACAAATGGAAGAGAATGTGAACGAGATTAAGATTAATTGGGGTCAGATTAATTGGGGTCAAATTAATTAACAGCAATCATCATTGAATTTCCAGGACAAATTTGATTGCAATTCGTTTTAATACAAAATAATTTTTTTTTAAATCGATAGAATAATCGATAGAGTAATTGGCCCTAAAAATATTCAATGATGACAGCCCTGTTGGAATCTAGCCCATCTGCCTTTGGGCTACACCCTGGACTGGTCGCCAGTCAATCGCAGCTATTTTTTTAGTCAATCAAGTACCAACAAAATAATCGTGCACTCCCCCTGAAGTGACAAAAAACAAAGTCCACACCTGCCTGTGATTCCCTCCCCCAGATATTCCTTGGATAAACACAGCAGTGCAGGAAAGGCTTTTTCGATCGACCCACACGACGGAACCATCACCATCGCCAAGCCTCTAGACCGAGAGACGTCCGCCTGGCACAACCTGACCGTCGTCGCCAAAGAAACCAGTAAGTCTTCTTCCTCCCACAACAACAAAAACATTGATCGGTCTTTATACTAACGTCTCACCGCTCCTCTCTCAGCATTGAAGCGTTTATCCTCCTCGGTCCTGGCGTCCATCAAGGTGCTGGACATAAACGACAACGCGCCGCAGCTGGCTGGCCACTACCAGCCGTATATCTGCGAGGGGACGCAGGCAGGGGAGGTACGGGCGTGATCAAGCGCAGATATGCTCGCGATTTACAGCTAGCTGTACTGTATATCTGGATTTCGGTTGCTCATGTCAGCCTGGGAGGAAGCACGGAGAGAGCGCCGCGTCATCATTATGGCCTTATCAAACTATACGTCAGATCAGCTTTATTTATCTACTATTGTTATTATTATTATTATTACTATTACTATTTTTTGGGGTAAGAGTCTGAAAGGCCGTCGCTTGAGTTGCCGCAGGCACTGGCAACCCACGCAATGTTACCGTCCACATCCATGCGATTGTTGTGAAGCGCGGCCCTCACAGATTTGCGCGGCGCTTCTGCCCTCGCCTCTCAGCCCTCGCACGTCTTTTTGTGTCTCAGCTCATTCAGCTGCTCAGCGCCACTGATCCCGACCAGCCTCCTGAGGGTCACCACTTCTACTTCTCCATGGTCCCCGACAAGCACATCAATCCGAACTTCACCATTCGCGATCACCAAGGTCCCGTCGCCGCAACCCACTCACACATATCGTAGGACTTTCTACGTCTGTGTGTTTTATTAGTCGCCAATGACAACATTGTCGAAATAAATCAGTGCATCTGCACAAAGTTGAGGGCAGCATACAATTATAGTTTTGTTGCTTGGAAATTTGAGAATTTTAAAAAATGTATACTTGTTATGAAAATTATATGCTCGACCATCTTCACCCTGAATTTGAAATGCTAAACTATGTTATATGCGAGTGGAGTCGCAGTCGAAAAACCTGCTGCTCAATCTGCTGAACGTTGAGCAACAAAAATGCAGCACAATAAGTGAATTTTGTTGTTCGTGAAAAGGAAGGAGCTTGAGCTGTGCATGAAATGAACGGCCGCTGCTCAATCTGCCGTCCGTTTGGTGCCATGTTCCATTCTGAAAGCTCCAGCAAGTATTGAAACGGATATTCCAAATGTGCTTTTACACATGCTGAATATTTAATTATCTCACTCAGCGTTTGAAATGTGTCCCATATTCACCCAGGCAGCTTATCCCCCCCCCCCCCCCCACAAAA